GTCTGATGGTGGCACCCAATGTAATAAATTACTCTGGAGGAGGAACCTGATGTAAGGGGGAAAACTAATGGGGACATTTATTTTTGGACCTCGGCCAGGAGAAGATTTTAGATACTGGACTTTCTTGAATTTTCATTCAATAGCCCTGCTGTAGGCTTTTATGTGTGGGTATACGCATCCCTGTGGGTATAGATTGGTCCACCCAGCACAGAGCAAACATACCGTAGTAATATGATATGATACATAAGTGATATAAGGATAAAGTACACATACATTAAAGTGGTCAAAATACTCACCCACAGCTAGAAACTGTTCTTATATACTGTATAACTTTGTGAGGCTCACAAGAATGCTCAAGGGAATAATATTCTACATCATAGGATTCACATGGATTCCCCACAGTAGTTCTACAATGTCAAAAGATACATCATTTTAGTTCCTGATAAACAGTATCTCTGATGTTAGACTGTACGTAATCATACGTTATTGACTACTACTCCCCCTGAATTACACAAATTGTCCCCCTGAAGGATAGAACAATGGAAATCCCCTTGTTGGCACAAAACCACCCCCGCAATTTGTTAGCTCAACATAATAATAGGCCACATGGCAGTCAAACATCATGCATGCTTTGCAGACATACAGCCAGGTTCTTTATTGAGCAAATATGACAAACCGGTGTTACTGATCACTTATGTAATGCATTGGTTGATCCTGAATGATTAACATGGCAAAAACTTCTGTGTAGATGGAATAAAACTGTGGAAGAGACCACTATATTAAAAAGGTGAGGTACAGTGGATGTGGTGGTTTTACCTTTAAAGTAGTTACAAACCTCAGACATGAATTCTGAATAAAGCACATCCCTCTATAGTGTGTACTCAATTCAGAGAACCAAGCATCATTTCTGTCTGATGCCCTATTCCTCTGCTATCAGCATAAGTCACTTCACGTTTTCCAGAGACCAAGAGAAAACCAGTGACGGGAGGGAGCTCCTGTTATTGACAGCCTCAATAACTAATATGGGACTAATATCAAAAGCTCAATAAAAATGTTTTGTTAAAATTGCACATTACTAATATGCTCAGTATTCTACACTTAAGTGATTGTGAAGAAAGAACCTAGTGATTCTGCCATTTCCTTAATCACCACACTTGTCTCAGGCCCAGTCTCTGCTCCCCTTGATTATGTATTTGTAATCTCTCTGTGTGTTAGACCCCTCCTGTGCATGTGCTGTTATTGTGTCTGATCACACGCAGCAGATCACCAGGGAATGGACCAGTGCAAGGGTTAGCAGTCAGATGACCCCAAATAAACACTAAAAAAAAATTTTCATGGTGATTTTTAAAAAATAAACAACATAAACTTTAAATGCTGTTTTAGAGGTACCATTTGAGCCCTTGGATATGTGTTGACTTTGCTTTTACTTTAAATAGATGTTTTACTAGTGGAAATTGCAAACATGTATGATATAGCTTTAGCTTTCCAATAAATAGTCACTTGTGTCAGAGTGCTAGATATAAAACATCATAAATGAGAAGTAAACAAACCCCCGGAGCCTGGCAGTCAATGTGCCTAGAACAAAAATGTAAAGAGTTCCTGTGCTAGCAAAATGTTTTGTTTAATGTGAGCATGCTGCATTGGACATCACAGATTTTTATGTGTAGGATTGTTTTTTAATTGATGATATTGCCATTAATTGAAGTACTGTATACAGTGGGGCAAAAAAGTATTTAGTCAGCCACCAATTGTGCAAGTTCTCCCACTTAAAAAGATGAGAGAGGCCTGTAATTGGCATCATAAGTAGACCTCAACTGTGAGAGACAAAATGAGAAAAAAAATCCAGACAATCACATTGGCTGATTTGGAAAGAATTTATTTGCAAATTATGGTGGAAAATAAGTATTTGGTCAATATCAAAAGTTCATCTCAATACTTTGTTATATATCCTTTGTTGGCAATGACAGAGGTCAAACGTTTCCTGTAAGTCTTCACAAGGTTGGCACACACTGTTGCTGGTATGTTGGCCCATTCCTCCATGCAGATCTCCTCTAGAGCAGTGATGTTTTGGGGCTGTCGCTGGGCAACACAGACTTTCAACTCCCTCCAAAGGTTTTCTAGGGGGTTGAGATCTGGAGACTGGCTAGGCCACTCCAGGACCTTGAAATGCTTCTTACGAAGCCACTCCTTCGTTGCCCGGGCGTTATGTTTGGGATCACTGTCATGCTGGAAGACCCAGCCATGTTTCATCTTCAATGCCCTTGCTGATGGAAGGAGGTTTGCACTCCAAATCTCACGATACATGGCCCCATTCATTCTGTCCTGTACATGGATCAGTTGTCCTGGTCCCTTTGCGGAGAAACAGCCCCAAAGCATGATGTTGCCACCCCCATGCTTCACTGTAGGTATGGTGTTCTTTGGATGCAACTCAGCATTCTCTCTCCTCCAAACACGACGAGTTGTGCTTCTACCAAACAGCTCTATTTTGGTTTCATCTGACCATATGACATTCTCCCAATCCTCTTCTGGATCATCCAAATGCTCTCTAGCAAACTTCAGACAGGCCCGGACATGTACTGGCTTAAGCAGGGGGACACGTCTGGCACTGCAGGATCCCTGGCGGCGTAGTGTGTTTACTGATGGTAGCCTTTGTTACGTTGGTCCCAGTTCTCTGCAGGTCATTCACTAGGTCCCCCCATGTGGTCCTGGGAATTTTGCTCACCGTTCTTGTGATCATTTTGACCTCACGGGGTGAGATCTTGCATGGAGCCCCAGATCGAGGGAGATTATCAGTGGTCTTGTATGTCTTCCATTTTCTAATTATTGCTCCCACAGTTGATTTGTTCACACCAAGCTGCTTGCCTATTGCAGATTCAGTCTTCCCAGCCTGGAGCAGGTCTACAATTTTGTTTCTGGTGTCCTTCGACAGCTCTTTGGTCTTCACCATAGTGGAGTTTGGAGTGTGACTGTTTGAGGTTGTGGACAGGTGTCTTTTATACTGATAACAAGTTCAAACAGGTGCCATTGATACAGGTAATGAGTGCAGGACAGAGGAGCCTCTTAAAGAAGAAGGTACAGGTCTGTGAGAGCCAGAAATCTTGCTTGTTTGTAGATGACCAAATACTTATTTTCCACCATAATTTGCAAATAAATTCTTTCCAAATCAGCCAATGTGATTGTCTGGATTTTTTTTCTCATTTTGTCTCTCATAGTTGAGGTCTACCTATGATGACAATTACAGGCCTCTCTCATCTTTTTAAGTGGGAGAACTTGCACAATTGGTGGCTGACTAAATACTTTTTTGCCCCACTGTATGCATTCTGGAACTTAGAGACATGATCCCTACATTACAAAGTTGTTAAATGCAACATTTTAAAATATATGCATTATAAACGTATGAATCAGGGGCGGACTGACAACTCATGGGGCCCCCGGGCAATAGGGGATCATGGGGCCCCTGTGTCCTTGCCCAAACTCAAAAAAGCCTATGAAAAAGGTACCAGGGGCATCTCATGGCTCATACTGACCCCGGGCCCTTGAGCAGTGCCCGAGTTTCCAAATGGTCAGTCCCGCCCCTGGTATGAATACATCACTCAATAACCTGGAATCTGGGATGGTCCAAAAGTGTCCAAATGCTAAACATAGTGGGGTCCATGTGAAACCAGCAAGGAAGCCTAACTCTCCTTTACATGCTGCTTCATTTTTAAAAGAAATAAATTGAATAATGTAATAATAAACATAATGCTTTTAAAAACAATCTAGATTGTTTAACCACTTGCTAACCACGCAATAGCTGAATAACGGCTACAGTGTGGTTATCCAGTTCTGGGAGGGCGTCACAGCCTTCCAGCACGCGCCCTCCCACGCACCCTCAGCGGCGTGCATCCTGCGATCTCCTTGACACAGCTGATCACGTGATGAGGTAAAAGGCCAATCACAGCGGCCTTTACCATGTGATCAGCTGTATCTAATGACACAGCAGAGCATGGAGTAAATACAGTTGCCGGTTATCGGCAGAACTTTCCTCATGCTGTCACAGTGAGAGGAAAGTACTGCCGATAACCGGCAGCTGTCAGAGAGCAGATTGGCACTTATGATCAGTGCCAAGCAGTGCTTCCCAGCAGTGCCGCCCATCAGTGCTCAGCGGTGCCTCCAGTCAATGCCGTCAGTAAGCGCCGCATATCACTGCAGCCTATCAGCCTCATCAACACACATCAGTGAAGGAGAAAAATTACCTGTTTGCAAAATTTTATAATAGAAACAAAGAAAAACTTTTTTTTTCACATTTTTTTGCTCTTTTTTTGTTTATAGTGCAAAACTAAATCACCTAGTGGTAAAATACCACCAAAAGAAAACTTTGTGTGAAAAAAAATGATAAAAATGTCATATGGGTACAGTGTTGCATGACCGCGCAATTGTCATTCAAAGTGCAACAGTGCTGAAAGCTGAAAATTGGCCTGGGCACGAATGGGGTAAAAGTACCCGGCAGGCAAATGGTTACAAATAAATAAAAAAAAGGCCTGGATTCTTTGCATATAATATAACTGGATACATTTATAGGTAAGTTGATCCAGGGAATATCCAATTGCCTCCTGGAGAATTGGAAATAATTTTTTTCCTCCACTGGAACAAATTGGATCTTGGTTTATTGGGGTTTTTTTTTTGCCTTCCTCTGTATCAACTGTGGGTATAGGAGTGTGTGTGTTTGACTTTTTTCAACCAGATTAACCTTGAAACTATAGAGCTGCATAATCTTTTGCATCTGCCTAGAGTTCAACTTTAACTGCCTCCCGCCCGCCATATAGTAAAAATGACAGACGCAAGGCGGTTCTCTTGTTCTGGGAGGACGTCACATGACGTCCTCCCATTCTAACCGCGCACGCACGGCTCCTGGAGCGCACAGCGCTGAGATCTGCGGTGCGCTGTGTCCCTCAGAAAGAGCCAGAGATGTCAGCTCGGTCACGTGATCAGCTGTGTCCAATCACAGCTGATCACATGTAAACAGGAAAAAGCTGGTTATTGGCATTTCTCTCCCCATGAGCTGTCACGCTGACAGCTCGTGAGGAGAGGAGAGCCAGTAATCGGCATTCCTTGGAGGGGACATGTACACTGATCATCAGAGCACTGATCATCAGTGTGCCCTGATGATCTGTGTAACCCCAGCAGCGCCACCTGTCAGTGTCCATCAGTGCCAGCTCGCAGTGCTCATCCATGCCACCTGCCAGTGCCCATCAGTGCCACATCAATGCCACATATCAGTGCCCATCTGAGCTGCCTTTCAGTGTCGCCAGTCAGTGCTGTCTATCAGTGCCAGTCAGTGCCGCCTATCAGTGCCCATCAGTGCTGCCTATCAGTGCCACTTATCAGTGCCATATATGAGTGCTGCCTTTCAGTGCCCATCAGTAATGCCCATCAGTGCCACCTACCAGTGCCTCCTCATCAGTGCCACCTATCAGTGTCCATCAGTGAAGCCTATCAGTGCCCATCACTGCAGCCTCATTAGCGCACATCAGTGAAGGAGAAAAATCACTTATTTACAAAATTTTATAACAAAAACGAAGAAAAAAAAATGTTTTTTTTTTTAATTTTCAGTGGTTTTTGGTTTGTTTAAGAAAAAATAAAAACCCAGAAGTGATTAAATACCACCAAAATAAAGCTCTATCTGTCACAAAAAAAAATGATAAAAAATGTCATATGTGTTGCATGACCGCGCAATTGTCATTCAAAGTGCAACAGCGCTGAAAGCTGGAAATTGGCCTGGGCAGGAAGGGGGTAAAAGTGCCCTAGGCTAGTGGTTAAGGTGGTAATAAACTTAAAAATAAGAGAAATTTCTGACAGGCAAGGTTTTTATGACAGAAGAGACCTTGATGGATTGGAAGGAGGACCTGGTTATGATGGAAGAACTGGAGCACTGACAGCACAGTGATGGAAGTCTTCCTTTGACAGGTAAGTCTTTCATAATGTGCTAGTATCTAGTGCATACTAACACATTGTGACATAAAGGTTCAGGGGGGCCCAGTTTTTTTTTTTAAACTAGTTTACTCTGTTGCATATATAGTTGCATAGTTAGTTTGGCTGAAAAAAGACAAAAGTCCATCCAGATGAACCATGGAAAAAAGTTCTAATCCTACACCCACAGTTGATCCAGAGGAAGGCAAAAAACCCAGAAAAGCATGATCCAATTTGCTCCTGCAGGGGAGAAAATTCCTTCCTGATCCCCCGAGAGGCAATCGGATATTCCTTGGATCAACTTATCAACATATGATCTTGGCTGTTTTGCAGAACTAGAGTAACCACTAGAATCATTGGCATTGGACATTTCTGGGTGTGTCATGTGCCTGTGTCTCCCTTCTGTGGCTATTCCCTTTTGTCATGTCATTAGTGTGTCCCTTCAGAGCTGCATTGATACTCTAGTGACATATAGCTGTGGAGGTAGGAAAGCAACAAGCATCCAATAAACCCTGTAAGGCCCCATTCACAGCAACCTAGTCTGCTGTTGTGCATTAATTGCATGCCCAATAACGTGTTCTGTGTTGCACGTTCATTTGCATTAACATCAAATGCATGGATTGCTCAATGCACCACAGTGGACCAAAAAAAACATGCATGCAGGACTTTCAGCAGCCGAGTGCAATTCAGTGCACATCAGTCTGTTCTGCTGCTCTGCAAAGTAAATGCACTAGGAAGGTGCGATGGAGTGCCATAGCAGTTCTATATGTAAATGTGTCTGAAAGCTGAATATTCTAGCTGCAGATCTAGCTCTGCTAGAGAGCCAAGACTGGATGCAGCAGAGAAAATAAAGGTAAGTATTATAAATACGAACAGAAATAATGCAAGCTGAAGACTAGAGGTAAATTTCACAATACCACAAAGATCATATTATAAAAAATGTGCAGCGCAAAAATGTCTTAAATGTCAAAAATGTTTTACATAATCAAAAAGTCCATAAATATAAACCAGGGAATCAGTGAATAAAAGTTTGTGGCATACACAATCATCCAGGTGCAGAAAGTGCTCAGTCCCCACCACAGAATATACAGTATATGTTGCCGCTCACATTAAGGACATGACCCCTGAGTAAACATGAAAGTTATAACTTGCAATTCCCTGTTGAGGTATCAGTAGAATGGACTCACTGCTGTTCCACAAAAAACAGTCCTCACATATGCCTGGTAAATATGTGGAATTAAAGAGGGAAACACATAGTGCTCTCTGCTAAAATCCTTTACTTTATAAATGGTTAAAAACACTTCCAATTTTCAGCACTTATCCCAAGTGCATGTAGAAGCGCCCAAATGATTACTACAGCAAGCCTTTAGGAAGATAGCCACGGGTGAGGTCAAAGAACATGGCTCCGCGTTACAGCCTGGGTGGGACTTCATCAGCAGGATATGCCACAAACTTTTAATAACTGATTGTTTTGGCTTATACCGGTATGTATGGACTTTATGATTATTTAAAACATTTTCCATTTTTGCGCTGCACTTTTTTAATAATACGATCTTTGTGGTATTGTGAAATCTACCTCTAGTCTTCAGCTTGGATTCTGATTGCGCTGATTGGTTTCTGTTTTAAAGTATTATACATGCATTTTAAAATTTAGTGTTTCCTTAAAATTTTATAATTTGATGACAGCATCCCTTCAACCTAGGCTGTTTCCTTTATTCAACATTGACATGTCCCCCTCTAACCTAAACAAAAGAAGGAAAGACGGGAAGGTTGAGTTCAAAATCTTAATGGAGCATTTTGTAAAAGAAAATTATCTATAGCAGGCACCCATCACCCTATGATAGGAAGTGCTGAACGTGGACCTAATTGGCAGGATCATTGGATATTTGTTTAAATGAAAGCTGCAGGTTGAAGATTAAAAAGAAGGCTTTTGAAATTACTTTAACATGTTAAATTGTGCATGAGATTTTGTTAATTGAGGTTATATCTACCCAATTGTGCTCAATAGAGGTTATCAGCCAACTGCAGTCTAAGTCTGAGCTGCTATACAACTCCAGGTATGGGATGCACCACAGCAGCATACCTGCTTTGTGTCACCATGAAGGACTATGCATTAGACATCAGGATATTTCTTTTAAGTACCTTGACACTCAAATGCATCTATGGACTGAAAATCCGTTATCACAGCAGAGATGACATCAATATGTCTGATACTTAATACAGTACTTTCCCCATGTAGCAAACACATTAGACTGCTTTGAGGTACACAGTCCAGCAAAGAAACAACTCCTCCATGGAAATGTATAATAAATGATAAAATAAAGAACATCAGTGAATTTGATAGTATAACACAGCCTAGGTTAGCTGCCAAACCTAGTTTAAACATATATTTGTAATTCCATTTTAACCTTGAATTTTTTGATATACAGGGTGGGCCAAAAGTTGGTATACAGTACTGATTGGGCCATGTTTAGTATCTTTACTATTTAGTTTCTAAGGTGCTTGAAATGTTCTTCATTCAGATTGCAAAATTCCTGGCCATTTCAATTACTATCATGTTACTATCATGATTCTTTTGAGATTACCTCCTTCAATGTGTCCACCGTGTGGGGCTTCCTTTACTTCACCCCAGAAAGTCTATAGGTGTCAGGTTGGGTGAACGAGGTTTCCAGTCACTGCTGCCATGTTGTCAGATCAACACTGTGGGAAGATATATATAATATATATAAAAACCACACACTACATGTTGCCAAAAATTTTGAGGCGCCTGCCTTTACACGCACATGAACTTGAATGTCATCCCAGTGTTAGTCCACGGGGTCCAATATTGAGTTTGGCCACCCTTTACAGCTATAACCGCTTCAACTCTTCTGGGAAGGCTGTCCACAAAGTTTAGGAGTGTGTCTATGGGAATGTTTGACCATTCTTCCTGAAGCGCATTTGTGAGGTCAGGCACTGATGTCTGACAGTAAGACCTGGCTCGTACTCTCCGCTCTAAATCATCCCAAAGATGCTCTATCGGGTTGAGTTCAGAACTCTGTGCTGGCCAGTCAAGTTCCTCCACCCCAAACTTGCTCATCCATGTCTTTATGGACCTTGCTTTGTACACTGATGTGCAGTCATGTTGGAACAGGAAGGAACAATCCCCAAACTGTTCCCACAAGGTTAGGAACATGAAAAATGTCTTGGTATGCTGATACCTTAAGATTTCCCTTCACTGGAACTAAGGGGCCAAGCCCAACCCCTAAAAAACAACCCTACACCATAATCCCTCCTCCACCAAACTTTACACTTGGCACAATACAGTCAAGCAAGTACCATTCTCCTGGGAACCCCCAAACCCAGACATGTCCATCGGATTGCCAGACAGAGAAGTGTGTTTGGTCACTCCAGAGAACACATCTCCACTGCTCTAGAGTCCAGTGGCGGTGTGCTTTACACCACTGCATCCGACGTTTTGCATTGTACTTGGTGATGAAAGGCTTGGATGCAGCTTCTCTCGGCCATGGAAAACCATTCCATTAAACTATCTATGCACTGTTGTGCTAATCTGAAGGCCACACAAGATTTTGAGGTCTTTAGCTATTGACTCTGCAGACAGTTGGCGATTTCTGCGCACTGTGTGCTTCAGCATGTGCTGACCTTGCTCTGTCATTTTACATGGCCTACCACTTTGTCACTGAGTTGCTGTTGTTCCCAGTTACTTCCACTTTGTTATAAAAACTACTAACAGTTGACCGTGGATTGCTTAATAACAAGGAAATTTCACATATGGACTTATTGCACAGGTGGCAACCTATCACAGTACCACGCTTGAATTCACTGAGCTCCTGAGAGCGACCCATTCTTTCACAAATGTTTGTAGAAGCAGTCTGCATGCCTAGGTGCTTGATTTTATACACCGGTGGCCATGAAGGTTATTGGAACACCTGAAGCCAATACTTTTGGCAATATAGTGTGTGTGTGTGTGTGTGTGTGTGTGTGTATATATATATATATATATATATATATATATATTGTACATACTTTTGGCTCACTATATCTAGCATCTGAAGGAATACTTTTACTGTACAAGGAAATACCATGGAACAAAGGTTTCAGTGTGCAGGAAGTAATGTGGTTTTACAAACAAATAAAGCAGAATCAAGGGGAAATTACATCTCTAAATAATAATCAGATCCTGTCCTGGGTATAGGCTAGTGTGGGATTTTGTAAATGACATATACAATTATTGGGTAACATTAAGCCCACTCTTTTTTTCATCTACAAATCATGAAATGAGAAAATGTAATCTTCTGTCACATCATCTTTACAAACTCAATGTTACCCAAATGATTCAACACCTGAACTATAAAACGTAATGCAGAAGCACATTAACCTGTTTTTCCAGAAAGAGGATGTTTGCTTTAATAAGACAGGG